GGCTCCGGATGCCAGTGGAGCACCCAGGGCCAGGAGTGAAGCCCGGCTCAAGAGGAAGGAAATGCCCGAGGCAGCAGCAAAGGCTGAAAAGCCACGAAAGTGCTCAGGGGTGGCACCAGGGACACCGGGCACAGCTCAGGGGTGGCACCGGGGACACCGGGCACAGCTCAGGGGTGGCACCAGGGACACCGGGCACAGCTCAGGGGTGGCACTGGGGACACCGGGCACAGCTCAGGGGTGGCACCAGGGACACCGGGCACAGCTCAGGGGTGGCACCGGGGACACCGGGCACAGCTCAGGGGTGGCATTGGAGACACCAGGCACAGCTGAGGGGTGGCATTGGGGACACCAGGGACACCGGGGACAGCTTGGGGGTGGCACTGGGGACACCGGGCACAGCTGGGGGGTGGCACTGGGACACCAGGAACAGCTCAGGGGTGGCACTGGGGACAACAGGCACAGCTCAGGGGTGGCACCGAGGACACCGGGCACAGCTCAGGGGTGGCACCAGGGACACCGGGCACAGCTCAGGGGTGGCATTGGGGACAACAGGCACAGCTCAGGGGTGGCATTGGGGACACCGGGCACAGCTCAGGGGTGGCACCAGGGACACCGGGCACAGCTCAGGGGTGGCATTGGGGACACCGGGCACAGCTCAGGGGTGGCATTGGGGACACCGGGCACAGCTCAGGGGTGGCACCAGGGATACCGGGCACAGCTCAGGGGTGGCATTGGGGACAACAGGCACAGCTCAGGGGTGGCATAGGGGACACCGGGCACAGCTCAGGGGTGGCAACAGGGACACAGAGCACAGCTTAGGGGTGGCAACAGGGACACTGGGAACAGCTGGGGGGTGGCACTGGGGACACTGGGGACACCGGGCATAGCTCGGAGTGCCACTGGGGACACAGAGCACAGCTGAGGGGTGCCACTGGGGACACCGGGGACAGCACTCAGGGGTGGCACTAGGGACACCGGGGACAGCTGGGGGGTGGCACTGGGGACACCAGGGACACCGGGGACAGCTTGGGGGTGGCACCGAGGACACCGGGCACAGCTCAGGGCTGGCACCGGGTACACCGGGTACACCGGGGACAGCGGGCAGGGGGTCCCACGGCCCACCCGCGGCGCTGGGGC